ACCAGCAGGACTATTCCTCTGTGTCTGTGACCCAGGAAAACAGCGTATGAATGTGTTACCTGGGGGTAAACTTTACTGCACAAAGACTTAAATCCAATGGTGCAGTAGTCTTTACTAAGAATAATGAGAACACTTGCTTTTTAAATGCAAGTTTTTGAAAAAAGGTTACAGAAGCTCAAAGAGAAGGTTTGGGACAAAAATGGGGCATTATTGAATATAAATAAATAGATACTAAAATAGAGTTCCATGAGCTGATTATAGCATAAATTGTTGGTTTGCTTTGTTTTAATTATTTTAATTTTTTTTTTATTCTGGTCCCACAAAGGAAAAATTTCATTACTGATATCTTCAGCATTCTTCCTGCTTTTGTAAGTGGCTCCTGGCTACACTTTCCAAACACATATTCTCCCTCTATCTCAGTATTTCTCAATTCTTCTACTTGCCCAAAGATGTTCTGAGCATATTCCAATAGGTCATATCAATCCTTTTACATCTTTAGTGTTACAATATCAAATGTCACCATGTGGAAAGGTAAATAAAACTTCTGTGAATAGTTGCTGTCTGCAGCTTCTAGTGTTACTGGTATTTCTGGAAGAGAGACCCCTGTTTCAGTCTGTCCCACAGACTGGAGCCCATTTCTAGAGCCAGCTTCACACTCTTGGTGTCTGTGAGGTTCTAATGTTGTATCTCTAGATGATAATGGCTTCATTTGGGATAAGATGCCAAGGTATAAGGCCCAGTGCTTTCAGTGGCCTCTTCTTCGTCATGGTTTTCACTTCTGTTACCTTGAGTGTCACTGTCACTTCCATGCAAGAAACTGCCAAAATGATCTCAAGAATCTTGATTAAATGTAGTAAATTGCATGGCTTATAAAGCCATCGACTAAGTCCCCGTACCATTAAAATTGTACAATGACTCTGCACCTCATTCATGTAACTTCAAAGCCTCATATGTGAGATGAGAAAAATGGTATCTTGGCCCACATACCGTTGAGCTGTGTGTAAAGCTCTGACAGTCTGAAGCATATAAAACTAGAGAGCCGGTTTTGCAGCACAAGTTTTAACAGTTCACCTGCTGTCTCAAGATCAAATAGCATCATACTTTAGTGAGTCAGTTGCTCTTGATAGGCACAGTATGTCAGAAGTATTTTCCCATTTTTGGCTGAGATAATAAGATTTAAGAAATTAGTAGAGAAAATGAACTCTTAAAATAAACGCTATTCAGTGCATGAGGAGAGAAAAAGGACTCAGGATGACATAATTCCCATTATATTATTATAGCACAGGTCAGTCTGTTTGGGGAGTGAAGATTTGACATATATTTTTATTTTCAAACGTCATGCTAATTTACATTACTCAGCCCTTTAACTGCCAAACTGTAGAAGTCCATTACGCTACTGAAAGGAATACACAAATTATCCCCTGGCACTTCAGGCAGGAGTTTTACATACACACTGTTGTTACGCTATCAGCCAGCTAGCTGCACGGTTCTATTAAGGAGTAAGTGAGAAAATTATATTGCCTGCAAACTAATTGTACAAACGACTCTGAAATAAGTAATCAGAGCCTGGACTTTTCTGAAAACCAGCCAGGAGATATTATAAATTGCTCAATCATTCTTGTCAGCCCAGTTTAAAGACTCAGAGCTGCCATGTTGATTTTGTTCACTGTGTAACACAGCTACCTCCCGCTATTGACAGGGCTGGGCAAACTCAACTTACACTCTTACTAGCTGATTAGTTTCAGCCTCTAGCATCATGTAGAAGGTAAGTGGTAAAGCTTCCTTCTGAAATCCTTACTGAAAGAAAATGCAGATCTGAGCACCTTGAAGTAGTGTACCTATGAAATTGTACAGATTTCCAGACACTTAAAATAATTGGTCTCTTTATTTTTAGTGTAGAGAAATAAAGAGGAAACTATGAGAGTTCTAATGAAACTAAATGTTTTTACCAAAAAATGTATCCACTAATACTTTGAGTGATAGGTAAAATGCATTTTGAGGATGATATGTATCCAGGTAGATAGATACTCGTTTCGAAATTCCATTAGGTTGTGGGGCTTTTTAAGGAAAGCTCACTGACAGAAATGAAGTCCATCCTTGGGAACATTTGTTAAAATACTGCATCCATATGTGAAGTGGTGACAAGATGCTAGTTTTCTGAACCCTTACTGTGCACAGAAAAATGCTGAATCGTTTTAGGGTCACCTCCTATGGCCATTGGTAAAATGTGGATCCTTGATGCAGCAATAAATAAAGTTACTGTAACTCCAGTAGAGTTTTTCCAACATCTTCCAAGTTTATTTTCTAACATCAAAAATGAAAGATGAAAACATCTGCTGTAATACACAGTTCATTAAAGTAAAGCAGCCTAAATTGATTGCCCCTCTGAACTAAAGTACTGGCATGTAAGTGACTAGAATAATAGCTCATTTAGAGCTGTTTAGGTGGCAAGAATTTGCAGGAAAAATAAATTCTGTTGCTGTGGTTTCATAGGATTTTGTGCAAGAAAATGTCAGGGTATGGATTAGAAATGTCTAATTAGGCAAATCAGGAACCTTGCTTACATTTTTCTGGTTTCAAATACTACTTTTTTGGGGTTGACATCTCTACCTTGGTTTACTATGCCATTGCACAGGGTCTCTGGCAGTAGTGAGAATGCTCCACTTGCCTCAGTACAGAGCTTTGCTGCTTGAAGTTCTGTGTTGGAATCCTGATCTTGTTTTTGATCAAGATAATTTCTGACCTTGTGCAAAGATATCTTTGATTTTGTGCAAAGCATTTTTTATTCCTTGTTTCTTTTTTCCATTTTTAAAAATGTATTTATTGCTGTAGCATGATGAAGTTAATTAGATACAATTTGTGAAAAGCTTTGAAGTCTCCCTGTGTAGTGGTTGTGCCTCACTAAGAATGCCTTGTTAAAGTGTGAGAGCGTAATGTGAATCTTTTTTAAGAACACCCTTACAATCCTTTTCCTGTGTATCCTTCCAGAAGTGCTATTTCCTAACTTCACTATTGCATATTGGAAGGAAGTTTTGCAGGATCTGCTGTGGTGAATTTTTCTACTCACATTATCCTTCAGTTTCTTGAATAGCTTTGTTCTCAAAATCTAAGAGGACTAGAGTGAAGTTGGAATTTTGTCAACAAGAACCATTAGCATTCAGACATAACAAGATCTGTTCTACTCACCAGCATTGCTATGTCAGTCATACAACAGTGTTCACAAGGAAGAACACCCGCAAAGGCCTGAAAAGGTTGTGCAAAGGATGCTGGTTGCATTGGCAGCACCATGCAGACCTCCTTTATCATAAATACTTAACTAGTTTTCAATAGATGTAAGTGGTTTAAGTATAGCTTCCTGTTGAATTAGCAGTTGCTGAGCATTTGAGTCTTTGTGCAATCCTGCAATCCACTAATGTGATATTTAATGAGGAGACATCAGTCTGAAGAAAGGTAGTCAATATAAATCAGTGTTTACAAAGTGTGATTAACTCTGAAATATTTCATCAATGCTGCCGTCCCAGGCAGACTCTATGCTGATTATTAGAACCTGCGCATGTTTCAGGGGACTTTGATGGACCCTGAGTGCAGCAAACACGGAGCAGCAAAATTGCAATTATGCTCGGACTGTCTCTGATGACAATTTATGCATTTGGTGTGTTGACCTCTTGCTTCCCAAGAGGGAAATAAACAGAATGCATTTTCATTAAGAAAC